CTTAGGATTTCGATACGAAATCGAAGGTTAACTTATGGAAAATAGGGGCCTCGTTCCTTATTTTGGGTTCCTTAGGTCAAGGCCCCGACTGTATCTCTTCCCTCAGTGACTCGTGGCGCTTCTCGTGCGTGCGACGCTGCATGAGCTGGAGTGATTCTGGAGCGCCGGCGGGCCAGTTGGCCGACAAACATCTCGACGGAGCTGTTCGTGCACAGAGGGGTGGGCAGAGGAGGCGGAGGAGGAGGAGGAGGAGGAGGAGGAGGAGGAGGAGGAGGAGGAGGAGGAGGAGGACAGGGGCGAGCGGCGAGCTGCCCTTGCAACGGGCGGCAGCGCGGCGCAGTGCAGGAGCAAAACATGCCAGCGGTCATCCGGTCCAGCGCCGAGGCAAAAAGACGCACCCCTGTGGGCGGCCCCTCGGCCCGGGCCGGGTCGCTGGCAGAGCCACGGAGCCCATGTGGAATATGTTGTTTTGGGGTGTTCGCCAGCCTGCCGGCGAACGCCCAGAGGCTCCAGGCTGTGGCGACGCCTCAAGGAAAAGGAGGGGCAGGAAGAGGACGATGAGGAGGCGAGAGAGGGGGGGGGAAAGAGGAGGAGGAGGAGGCGGCGGCGGAGGGAGGAGGAGGAGGAGGAGAAGGAGGAGGAGGAGGAGGAGGAGGAGGACGAAGAAGGAGGAGGAGGAGGAGGAGGAGGAAGGAGGAGGAGCGGAGGAGGAGGAGGAGGAGGAGGAGGAGGAGAGGAGGAGGAGAGAGAGAGGAGGAGGAGAGAGAGAGAGAGAGAGAGGCAGATGTGGAGCTTGAGGAGGGATAGGAGGGGAGGAGGCGAGGGTGGAGCAAGCAAGGCTAGAGGACGAGGAGGAGGAAAACGAAGGCGAGAAAGAGAGATAGAGAGAGAAAGAAGAGTCCGGGGAACAAGAGCAGCAGCAAGGGGCCAATACCGACGAACCAATGCCGGCGAACCAACGTCAACGAACGACCACGAACGGCGAATGGCGAACGATCAGGGAAGACGACGTCGGCGTCGTCGGCGGCGTCGACGAACGACGACCGACGAGCAGCCACGACCAACTTGAGGGAAACAGGATCATGAAGGGAATGGGTCCTGGATCCTGGGGCCTTCCGCCAGAGCCAGCTCTTCATCTGGAGCCGTTCCTTCACGCCCCCGAGGCCCGCGGAGGGCCTCAGGGAACCCCCAATTGGAGAAAAATCTCCCCGGCCCGTCCCCCCGAGGACCCCATTTCGCTTCCACGGCGACAGGCGAAGGCGCCCGCGGCGTCGGCCCACGGCGGCGCCGACGGGCGACCAGACACCCAGCGAGGTGATCAGCGCAATGCGCGGCCCCGGAGGTCCCAACACCTTCCCCGGGCGTGGGTAGTTCTGCGTCCCGGACCCGTTTTGGATAGCTTCAGGGCCCGAAAGCGGGCCCCATAGGCCGACATCGAGGAGAGGCACCAGACTGCAGGATTATTGTCTTCTCCTGAGCGGCTGTCGGAGCTGACCTCCCCACAGTGGGCCTCAACGTGCGCTGCCAGCCCGAGAACGTCCTCCAGGGCTGGGCCCCGCAGTGGTCGGTTGTTCATCGTGTTCGGCATGTGTTCGGGTTTCACGCCTCTAGTCGCTTGTTCGGCTGTGTTCGTGTGATTCGTGTTCGGCCACAGCTTCGCCAAGTGGCGCTTGTAGTGCTTGAAACGTGATCACGCTAATCGCTGTGCTTGGTGCTCGGCCGCGTGCTAAGCAGTGGGCCTCACCTTGTGTTGCCGGCACAACCAGAACAATCGAGCATTGGGCGCCGCGTGATGGGGGGGTCATAGATGGGGGGGTGGCGAGGGTGGTCCGAAAAGGTGCCCAAACGGTACCTGAACGAGCCCCCATGGGGCTCCGGAGGGGCCCGAAAGGGGCACGAAAGGGGACCTTTTCTGACCCCCCCATTTGTGACCCCCCCATTAAGCATCGCGAGCACAGGCGCCGCGATGCGAAAAAGGCCACGTCGTCGGAGATCTGGGCGGCGACGAGCGGCCGGCGCGCCCCCCCCCACACGGCAGGTTCGCGCGGGCCCGGCGGTCCTCCGAGGCCGCGAGGTTCTCCGAGGCCTCCCAGATGGGGTCCGAGCATGTGCGGTCGGAGGATCGCGCCGCATCGGCGATGCTGCGCGATGTGGAGCCCGATATCCTTCAGGAGGAAATGAAACACACAGACACAAGTAATCTTCGATTCCCCAGAAAATATAGGAAAATATGGGAAGTGGGGGGGAAGACAGAAACCCAGAAAATATGGGAAAATATGGGGAATCGTTTTATTTGTGTGTATTTATTTGTGTGTCCTGGGGCCCCTTCAATCCTCCGCCCCGCCATCGCCGATGCATCGGCAGTGCATCGGCGATGCGGTCGAACCGAGGTATAAGGTCGTTGTCGGTTCGGCGGGAGGGTACCCTACCGTTCCTCGTGTCTGTTCGTTGTGCTGGTGCATCCCTGGGGGAGGGTACCTTTGAGTGATCTTATGGTTTG